CGACCAACGACCGGCGACCGATTGCCTCACCCAGGAAGAGTGCAATGATCATACCAACATGGGCCAGTGAAGCGACGTCCTCCACAACTAGACTGAAGAACAAAACAGCAATTTGTCTACCTGTCTGTTCCCCTTCCCTGATTCCCCAATGCTATTCCCCTCCCCGAATTCCCCAATAAAATCTTTAAAAAAGAAAACTAGAGAAAACAAACACAGACAGCAAAGCCTTTGGTGGGTGAGGTTGTGGTAAACAAGGACACCACCAGGCTCAGGTGACAGTGGCCGCAAAGGACCAGAGCCATAATGTGCACCCCCGGGAACAGGGGTCCTTGGGTACCACATAAAACCAATCCACTTAAGCAAAAATGGAGGTTTTTAAATAAGGAAAACGGGCGGTACCTCAGTAGCCCACGGAATCGCCTTTAGCCTCAGGCGGGTCAGAAACCAGGAACCAGCAAGTCAGCAGGACTCTTTCTCTCTCCTCGCCTGGGCCTCCCGCACACATCTGCTTTTTTCCTTTTCTGCAGATCTTTCTGCCATGCACCCATAGTTACACAACAAATATATATTTTGTGTATAAGCCCAAACATGGATGTCCCATTTCCATGTTCAAGTGTACTCCGCAAAGACTGAGTTACAATTTGAAATTCTCAGGAGTCGTCAGTTCGTATCAATGGCGTGGGAAAGGAAGTCCCCAATATTTGAACTTGGGCAGAACTGGACAGTGATGCTGACCTGTTTTACACGACGACATGCCAAGCCAGACGGAGCCTCTGGGAGGGCAATTATTTGGATTCATCTCTGTATCCCTAACACATGGCTACTGCTTGGTAGATAACTGTATTGAAAGAATAAAGGAAAGTCAGTTTAGTGAGGAAGACAGATACATAAACAAGTGTATGTATGTATCTGTTATGTAAGTGCTGTGATAAAGACTTCAGGAAGCATTGAGAGAACAGTAGAGGAAAAGGGACCTGAGACGCAAGGGATTTCCTGAGGCAACAGCAGGACTAGGGCACAAGTCTTGACTCCACACTTAAGACAACAAATACTTATTTTGTGTATAAGCCCAAACATGGATGTCCCATTTCCATGTTCAAGTGTACTCCGCAAAGACTGAGTTACAATTTGAAATTCTCCGGAGTCGTCAGTTTGGCTCAGCCTGGGTCCTCCACTGGTCTCATCTGCGAGGACCCAGAAAGGCAGGGTAGTTCTTAGCTCTAAGAGGGTTGGGATCTCTGATCTAACCTGGGTCCCCAGAAGGATCCTTCATCTCTATGTAAATTAGTGGGTGTGATTAGATCGACAGGAGGAAATACCCCAGGGCAGACAGCTAGCATTAACCATTAACATATCCCAGACCTCGGAGCTCCAGGCCCTGAGTCCAGCCAGAACATCCAATTCAACTTCTTCCTGCATCCACATTCCACATCCTTATTATGCCTTACAGTCCATTTTCCACCTAGCAGCCAGACTTCTCTAAAGGTACATCAGATTAGATTCTTCCCCTGCTAAATACAGAGGTTGGGGGGGATTCCTTCCTGTTGCAATTAGAATAAAATCCAAAATCCTTACCATGGCCTATCAGGCTCTACCTGATCTAGCCTAAGGATATTTCTCTGACTTTACCTTTTATAAATCTTCCTCTCATTCTCTCTGCTGTAGCCGCACGGGCCTTCTTGCTAGTCCTCCAATATGCCAAGTTCATTCCCACCTCAGGGCCCTTGCACCTGCTGCTCTCTCTGCCCCATATTTTTGCTTGGCTGACTCCCCATCATTCCAGACTCAGATGACATCATCTCCTCAGAGGGTCTTCCTTGATATCATCCTATCTAAAGTAGTAACACCCACCTCAACAGACACACATGCTAGCCATTCTCTACCCCGTTTTTCAGGTTTTTTCTTCATAGGACTTAATACTTGTTGAAACTCCCGTTTATTTACTAGTATATTTTCTTCCTCTCCATATTAGAGTGTAAGCTCCATTTGAGCAGGGACCTAGTCTGGCTCACTCTTTTGATATTTTCCCAGTGGCAGAACTCAGTCTGGCACTTAGGAGATACCAAAAACCACCAGAACAAAGAAAGCCTGAAGAATTTGATTTCAATGTTATGCCACGAGGCAGTGCAGCAGAGCACCTCAGAGCAAAGGTTTGGGAGCTGGATCACCTGGGTCACCGGCTCCCTCACTTCCTATCTGTGGAAACTTGCACAGTTGTTTAAATGATCTGTGTTTCAGTCTTCCCATGTGCAAAATGGGGAGGATAACAGTACCCACAGTACTGAGGATTAAACGAGTTTACACATGTAAAGGACTTACAAAGGGCTTGTCATAAAGTAAGCACTCAACCTGTTTCCACTTATTATTCATTATTGATCGTTAATCCATTCATAGGAATTTAAAAAATTCATCTCCCCTTATTTTCATCTTTATTGGTTTCCTCTGTGTTTTGGGAGACCACCTGAAGTTTGTTTTCTTTATTAAATTGACCCATGGTATTCAACCTGGCATTCGTTGTTCCCACGCTGGTTTTTTCATTGAACAGCCATATTTTAATCTCCTCCTCTATATTTCCTTATCTCAGATTATCCCATTTGCAGGATTGTAAATTAATTGTGTGCCATCTTTTTTAAGCTTACTGCCACATCAATCAGGTATTGCCTACACTTTCTTCTGCTCCTTCCAATAGGTCTTTTTCTGAGGCAGGCAGCTCTTCTCAATCTTCAGGGAAATGATAAATCACCTTCTCTGCAGCTGTAAAGTATTTATTTAGCCTTATGGAGAAGTCTATACGTAGGGTGTAGACCAACCATCCTGGTTTGTCTGGACTGAGGGGTTTCCCAGAACATGGGACTTTGGGTGCTAACAACAGGAAAGTCCCAGGCAAAACAGGATGAGTTGGTCACCCCACCTCCAGCTGTAGACAGCATTGAGGAGCTCTGCCATATTGGTACAGACATTCCTCCAAATCTGTAACAACAGGAGGAAACCATTTTCTAGCACTTGGCACTACTCGCTCTTCCAAGTACCATTTCAACATGTGAGAGTCTCTCAGATAAAAAGGAAAACAACTGGGCTGGCCGAGTGGCACGTTGGTTAAGAGCTGGCTTGGGACGCCAGAGGGCCCCAATTTGGATCCCACATATGAGGGCCAGTGACATTACCCTCTGCAGCTAAGATGCTGAACAACAGCTCAACCTCGAACTGGGCTGCCATGAGTTGCCGGTGACAGCGTAGGCTGCAGCCCCTGCTGCAGTGGGTTGCCATGGGCTACCGTGTGTGGCCAGCAG